AAATAAACAAATGTCCTTTCTTTCATTCACTATCTCCTTCACCAATTTCTTTATTGGCTAAAATAATCATTCTCCCTATTGTGGATACCCGATCAATTGTTTTTGTGCAACTCCAAACTTTCAACCATGAATACACGTGTTTGAGAGTAACTGTGGAACCTTGGGGAGCGACCGACTACAACGATTTACACTGGAGTTGGGCCGAAATTGTTTTCACGACAGTGGCTTGTCATGACACAGTATTTGTGTTAAGTTATTCACTTCTTTATAATTTTAGTCCAATATCAACATTGTAGTATTTTTTCCAACAAATATATCCCTCATCGGTTGACACAAAGGAAAACGAGTATTAAGATGGTTATAAAAAAAATAGGAAGGAACATTAAGAAACATACATACCTAGACGTGGTCAATGGGTGATCAATAAGACCCATGGCCTAGATTTGTGACCTTCATTGCACTTTGAAGGGTTGCTTATCTAAGGTCGGCCAAAGTGGTCGAGCCTACGTCACAATTTGTTGCAGGGGGGCATGCGTTCGCGTGTCCCTACCCAATTCTTAAGCAAAAATTTTCTTGTTTCAGATTTTGTTCGTCTCTTGGGTAGGGGGACTGTGCGAATGCAGGTGGGGAACTAGTAAGATTGTCCATCTCCAGTCTAATCAGAAATAATAAAAGACGAAAAGAAAAAACAAAGAACTAATCCGAGTCCACAGAACCAACTGTGTCCTTAAAAAATTTAATCCCCTCAATTACCTGAAATTGCAAATTTATTCATCCTGAGATAAAACGGATTAACTATTAAAGAATTAGGGTACCTCAAACTTCGATAATTTCAACGAACTCAAAATGACAGCAACAAATCACACACATAGACACGATCGATCAATTTTATTTTGTAAGAAATGTATGCAAAAGAAGGGAATAATTCAATGTAGAAAAATGACAGAAAGCCTCTCTATTTATAGCCAACAAAGGGTAAAAGTCACAAGTTTTTGAAAAAAAGACAACCTTTTGGAAAATGCACAACCTTTCATAAAGGTTACAACTCTTTGGCAAAGTCACAATCCTTCATGAGAGTCACAACCCTTCAGTTCATGTCTACACCTTTAAATCCCAACAGTTATGGTGGGGAACTTCACGTTTAAAGTTCAGATATTCAACGACTCTCTACGATTTTAAAAAGTACTCAAGCATTCAATCTTGCATGCCTCCTATACTTTTGCACTCAATAACCACTACGCTACGAGTCTTTATTGGTATTAGTTCTAACATGATGATTATTAAACTTTGACCTTTTATGTGTTAGGTGAACCAACTTTGCCAAATTTGTTAGAGATGTGAAGCTAACGAGTCTATGAATAGAGCATTGAAATCGTGTGGCTTTTGATCCATAGCTAACAATATCACAACATGTTAACAATATCTTCAGATTATTTTAGCCTAACAACATGCTGATACTTCCGTCACATTGACAGACACCCCAATGATTCAAAAATGTTTTTCATGAAAAATATTTTCCTCGTGTTAGAATTCAGAAGAAATTATAATTTTAATTTCTCCCAGTAAAGATTTGTTTACTATTAAATGAAAAAAAATTGATAACAAAAAGATGAAGGGCTATATATCCCTCATCGGTGACACAAAGGAAAACAAATATTAAGATGGGATAAAATAATAGGAAGGAACAACAAGAGATATACTTACCTGGACAGGGTCGATGGGTGATCAATAAGACCCACAACCTAGGTTTGTGACCTTCATTGCACTTTGGAGGAGTGTCTATCTAAGGTCGATACAAATGGTTGAGCCCATGTCATAATTTGTTGTAGTGGGGGTTTGCGTTCGTGCAGCCCCTACTCAATTCTTAAGCAAATTTTTTCTTTTGTATATACAGAATTCGTAAATTACATATCTCTCTTAAGTTCTATGTTTTACGGATGAACAACTTTATTATCACTTTTCATTCATATAATTTGTAGAGTAATTTCAACATCCTACCTAATGCAAGGCCCACGAGAGGTTGGGTGGCATGAGTCTGAGTCATGATCGAATATAATGTTTGCTTGTTAGACTTAGTTAAGAAATAAAGTAGCGCCTTTCCTATCAGGTATAGCTTTTGACATGATGATAAGCGCTTGATCTTAACATAATCTGCTAAGTGAAGGAGTTTGAGAAATCCTTTCTTTTAGTTGTCAGGGCGTTCATGAGTGATATCGAAATCAATTTCATTTCGATATAATGCTGGCTCCTTCGGATGGGCACGTCAAAAAAGATCCAAACTAGACGGAAGCTCTAAGATCTTCGACACATGCGTGATGCATGACGTCTAGCTACTCAAACATGTACTAGCATACAAAAGAGTACGACCAACATAGATTATAAGGCCACAGTATATAATCTATAGGTCCTTCACTATACACTTTTTGAAAAACACAACCTGCATTCGAGTTCAACTATTCAAGATGCTCAGTTCGCGACACCTTATCCATCATCTTCTAAAAATATATCTCCTTATAATAAAAAAGAAACCAAATCGACATCATATCTTAAATTAGATGATCGAAAAAGTATAAAACAAGACAACTTAAGTAGTTTCTATTTGAAAAACATGTTAGATTTTCAATCATAAAGTTACTTAAAAATAAGCATAGAGCAATATTGAAAAGGAGTGAGTGAGGTGAGTACCACATTGATAAAAAAAGTGTAAATACAAACTTTGTCCCGTAACAAAATGCACCACAGATTAGCCCTAAGAACTCACGCAGCCACGCAGTGAGCACAAAGCGAACTATTCTTTCGCCTTTTACTAAAGAATACCGTGTGCACGCTGCAATCAGTGGCATACGCTAATTTTTGGAGGGATTCTCTTCTTTAGAGGACCCCAACAATACTACTATCAAATTTTTTTTGTTACTTGTCTTATAATTTAATTTATTTGAGTAAAATTATAGTGACAGTCCGCTTTTATGCAATAGCTCATAAACTACACAAGAGAGGTAATCCGTATTAGTCTTTTATGCAATAACTTACACTACGCTTTTATGTAATAACTTGCAAACCATACAGCATGGTAATCCGCACTAGGCAAGTCAGGTACGACGAGCTTGATTCGTTGGCAAGAGATTTCGAACTTGTGACCTCCAACATTATAGTACTAAGTCCAAACCACTAGGCTAACCCCAACTAAGAAGGACTTTTTAATCTTATTTTTTGCTTTTGTTGGCAAGAGATTTCGAACTTGAACCACCCCGAAAGTTATGATTTACTCAATACTAAAATTCACAAGGGCTTTTTAATGTTATTTTAATTCGCCCATGAATATGGTAAAAGATTTGTTTGTTGTCTATCTTGTTTGCTATTAAATTTTTTTTTTTAAAAAAAGAGATGAAGTGCAATATATCCCTCATCGATTGACACAAAGAAAAACAAGTATAAAGAGGAATATAAAAGAATAGGAAGGAGCAACAAGAAATATACTTACCTGGACGGGGTCAATGGGCGATCAATAAGACCTATGGCCTAGGTTTGTGACCTCCATTGCACTTTGGAGGGGTGCCTACCTAAGGTCGGCCCAAGTAGTCGAGCCTATGTCATAATTTGTTGCAGCGGGGGCTTGCGTTCGCGCAGCCCCTACCAATTCTTAAGCAAAATTTTCCTTTCTTTTTTGTGTTTTTGCATTGTTGATTTATATTTTTATCTTTTAATCTTTTATGTAATTGATGAACAAATAATCTGTTCAGTAGGGACCATGAACACATAATTGTATATTTAACATAGACAAAAAAATGATTGAGAAATTTTCTTGAGGGAACTAATGAGTCTAGCGAACAATATCATAACGTGACACCCTTTGTGAAGGGTAGATAAAACTTTATATGTATTTCGAGATCTTTGATTAAGGACAAAAAAGAGAGAAATGATACACGAGCAAATTTTAGTTGTGAAAAAAATAAAATAAATGCAAACCGGGTTCTCAATTATTATTTGGACACATGCAATAAATCTCCCAACACATAGAATTTTAGACTAAAGCTATTGCGTTTGGCTGAACCCGTAAGCTATAGACTTTGCTCGAGCATGGAATTAGTTGTAGTGCACACAAATGTCTCAAGACACCACGGTAATAACAAGAAAAAATTGTATGAAAAAGGACGAAATCAGATTGCCCAAGTAGACACTTAAACTTGTATAAAGTTGAACAAATAGACACACATGTTCTACATATAATTTTTTGTCCTACGTGTATTGTGCCATGTAGGACTCACGTGTTTATTATTTAAAAGTTGGATAGTTAAAGTGTATGTTTGAGCATTATGAAAGTTTGAGATCAAAGTTAAAATTTGAAGCCAAGTTTAGGGTCCAATATATGTATTATGCCATAAAAAAAAGGTGACTTGTGCGTTTAGAGCGTCTAGCGCAACATTATTTTAGGAGAGTCTAAACAACGTAAGATTATACCATAGAAGAAGCAATTTAAACAAACACAAATGTTTTCTTTTTTTCGAATTTGATCAGTTGGAAAACACCGATGTTTGATCGAACACGTTGAAGGAAAAAAAAAACAAAGAGTAGGAGTGAGTTGAGTACCACATTGATAAACAATGAGTAAACACATACTTTGTCTGAGTATAAAATTGCAGCACAAAATTAGCCCTAAGAACTCACGAAGCCACGCAGTGAGCACAAAGCGAACTATTCTTTCGCCTTTTACTAAAGAATACCGTGTGCGCGCTGCAAATAGTGGCATACGCCAATTTTTGGAGGGGTTCTCTTCTTTAAGAGTACCCCAACAATTCTAGTTTAACATTTTTCACATGGGATGCTTCACTTGTTTAATCTTATATAAGTTTAAATATTTATTTGAGTAGGTTCAAAGTTGGAGGATGTAGATACACTAATGGTCACGTATGGAACTTTAAATATTTTAATCACTTTTACCTTCACTAGAATTTTTTCGTTACGCCAAGGAGATCCAATAATTTAAATATATATGACCAAGAGGATAATATATGAATGTCGTTTAACTTTTGATGTTTATGCCCTTCAACATTTGATGTTTATGCCCTTCAACATTGAGTTTGTATAAGTAGACAGATGTCCTGTATGGCATAATAAATGTAGGACGCCACAAAATTGTCGCGTAGGACGAATGCATCTTTATTTAATATACACATAAAAAGTCCAATCAAAAATAATTTGTCTATCATCCTGTTTGTTGTCTATTTGGTACCATAAATCAAGGGCAAAATGTCCCTTATCGGCTGGCACAAAGAAAAACAAAGATCTAGATGGATATAAAAGAATAGGAAGACGCAACAAGAAACATACTTACCTGGACGGGGTCAATGGGCGATCAATAAGATCCATGGCCTAGGTTTGTGGCCTCCATTGCACTTTGGAGGGGTGCCTACCTAAGGTCGGCTCAAGTGGTCGAGCCTACGTCATAATTTGTTGCAGCGGGGGCCTGCGTTCGCGCGGCCCCTACCCAATTCTTAATCAAAATTTGTTGGTTTTGGTTACTAGTAATTTTTAATTTTATTATAGATTTTACAAAATGTACTTCGAAAAAAGTTAGTAATTTTATTAAAGATTTTACAAAATGTATTTTGAAAAAAGTTAACTTGTGTATTTATTAGTGGGGTACAAGAACATTTTTGAATACTCCGAGCAACGTAGATTATAAGAGACATAACCTTACAAGATGTAATTTCAAGAACTTTCACTAGCTATACAAATTTAAAATTCTGAACTTGAGCAAAGCCAACTATTCTTTCGACTTTTACAAAAGAATACTGTGTGCATGTTGCAATTAATGACAAAAAAGTCCCCCAACGAAACAGCAAAGCCAACTATTCTTTCGACTTTTACAAAAGAATACTGTGTGCATGTTGCAATTAATGACAAAAAAGTCCCCCAACGAAACAATTACTATTTTTTGTCTCGAATACCTAAAGCACGACGCTTATTTTAGGACAAACACTTATTTTGAGACGGAAAGATCAAATGTCTTAGCCACAACTTCTTCAAAACTAAACTATATTGATGAAGAATGGCCTTATATTCCTAATCTGATAAAGCTTTTCTTTCATGTCCTCGATCATAGAGGCAGACCTATACTTGCAAGTGGGGTTGAACGTGTATCTGTTAACTTTGAAAAAAAATCACATGTATATCTATCTAGAGAAACTGACAGAAATTAGAATATAAAACAACAGTGCACCAAAGAGAAGCATATGAGTGCCCTTGTGTTGTTGGTACAGTTAGAGGAACCATCTTTGAAATCATGGTTCAAATCGTGTGTTTATGTTTCTTTCTATTTTGAAAATCCCGACTCCAACACTAATCGAAATTCAACATTTAATATTTGAATACAAGAAAGTCAAAATGACAAAAACTTAAGTCGTTTCTATAGATAATGGACTGAATATTTATGTGTACCACATTGATAAAATACAAGTAAATACAAACTTTGTCCCAATATAAAAATGCAGCACATATTGGTTAAATAGCTCACGCAGCCACGCAGTGAGCACAAAGCGAACTATTCTTTCGCCTTTTACTAAAGAATACCGTGTGCGCGTTGTAAATAGTGGCATACTCCAATTTTTGGAGGGGTTCTCTTATTTAGGAGTTACCCCAACAATACTAGTTCCAACTTTTCTAATATGGTCTTATAATGTTTTTTATACTAATGTTTATTTTTTGATTATGATATTGTTAACAATCTTTGTTGAAGGTTAGCAAAATCTCTGATTTAATTAAGAGTGGAGAAATATTTTTCTCTTTTCTTTTTTGGTTAAATGACTGGAAAGGAATAAAAGATTTCGATGTTGGAGGTTTCGAGTTTGAAATTCGTTGGATTTTGATGTTGGAGTTTTCAAGTTTGAAATCCCTTGCCAGCAAAAGCAAGGGATTTTACCTTCTACATCGAGCTCGTCTCACCAGACTTGCCTAGTGCGGATTACTTCTCTTATGTGGTTTACCAGTTTTTCTATAGAAGCGGGGTTTTACCCTGTGCAAATCCAAAAAATAGCAGCTGCGGATTTCCCTTATCATTAAAAAAAATAAAATAATTTAATTGATTAATGTTGTGAGATTTAAACTTTATATAAGCAAAATGTCTCTCATTAAGCCTTAGTGAGATCATCGGAACACACAAAACATGTTGTTATTACACAAAGGAAAAGAAGGATTTGGATGGGATATATAAAGACTACGAAAGAACAACAAGAAACATACTTATCTGAACGGGTTAATGGGCTATTTTTAAGGCCCATGAGTTCGGTTTAGTGACTTCCTTTGCACTTTAGAAGGGTGCTTACTTAAAGGTCGGTCCAAATGATTGAGCCATCCATTCCGATATTTCATATATCATATTTTGAACATATATTTCTAAGAAGCTGAAGCAAATTCAAAATTTAAACAATGTTTATACAAGAAATGCATAAAAAAGAAATATATTTTAAAAAAAGAGCGAGAGAATCAAAGACGTATCTAAGATTTTGAAAGGACAAGTGCACTTTACAAAGAATTGAATTGAAGATATTAAATTTGAGTGATTTGGCCTTCATTTTTTTTACATAATTAAAATGATGAGTCTATTTTTGAAAAAAATATAAATTTATAATATAGGGTTAAGTTTTATTTTGAAAAATTGAAATTACAACTTAGAATCTCAATAACATATTTTATTTCCCAAAATAGGACTAAATATGCTCAATTCACTAAGATTAGGATCAAAATGAACAAGTCAATAACTTAAGAGACTTGAATCGCTATTTTCCTTTTTCCTTAAGTATCAATTTTTGATATTTTTTTCCCCAAATCAAAACCTCCCTGCTGCTCCGCCGTCAATTCGCCGCCGTCCGTCCGTCCACCTCCCTGCGCCGGCGTTCCGCTGCTGCAAGTCTTCCACACCGGACGCCGGCGTCCTCCGTAACTGTAAGTTTCTCTTCAAAAACTATTCCTGGCCTTATTTATTATAGTTGTTCTTTTTTTTTTTTGGTCAAATCGTGCTTTGCTTTGTAATGATTTCTATAGTATATGCTTTGATATGATTTTCCTTGAGTTGAAGGTCTATTCGAAATAACCGGAGTAGTATCTGTGTATGTTGTTGTTTATACCTAAATTTTATGGTTTGCTTGATAGAGTTTTGCTGGCTGTATTTTCATCTAGTAGTTAGAAAGAGGATGGAAGACGTATTGATGATCCAGTATTGAAAATATATTCTTATTCTAAACATGTATTGAAGAGAAATAATAAGATGAGGCACTTAAGGGTGTGACTTAGTGATCAACGAACTTGGTTGAGAATCAATAGGTCATTGGTAGCGCTATGTGATTTCGTTTTCATTACGTTCAAGTCTTGGTGGATAGAATTATACGGTGATTGTAGTGGTAGGAGGTAGGAGGTACCGCGTGAAATTAGCTGATAGCTGACCCAGACTCCACGGTGTAGAAGCTGCTAAATATTCATACATTGCTAAGACGAGAGAATGGAATGGCTACCACTACTTATAACAACAAGGAATTGGAAAACTATGGTAAATTCAAGCACTATTTGCAAAATCAAAACATCTTACGAACTTTCCTGCCAATTCTATGTGTACTAAGCTGTCATCCAAGGACTTCTCCATATAATGTCGGATATACAATTTTTTCTTCATTTGCTGTTGCATTATCCCTGTTCCATTCAGTGTTTTAGGAAAGCGAGCGCAAGCAATGAAGCGAAGCGATGCGAGCCTTCTACGCGTCACAGACTAGAATGAGTATGTGAGCGCCTCATCGCTTAAAGCGTGAAGCGGCGCCTTATCGCTTTTTTCCGCTTCACGCTTCCTGAACACTGGTTCCGTTAGTACCTAATTTGTATGGTTATAATCACCATATACTACCTGGAACACCTTTTTAATATCCCATTGCTTCTCACCCTTGCAATAATGTTTAAAAAGGTTTTTCCTCTTCCCATCAGGTGTCCTTTAACTGCACGCTAAAGAAAGATGAAAGAACAGATGGCTATATTAGGGAATAATAGAATTGAAGATGTTCGGTGGCTTTGTTCCTTAACCGAATCTGAGCTTGTAAGTTATCTCTGCTCATTTTTTCCTTTTTCTTTTGGGTGATGACCAATATCTTATGCGTGATCTGGTTGAATTTTTTAGGATTTATTGATAGGTTTGAAAGTTCTGATACAACAACGTGCCAAAAAGATTGGTCACAAGTCTTTAGCTAACAAGTTTGATTTGAAGACCCTTCGAGCCCTCAGTGAGTTTTTTCTTGCTCCTCTCCATAAGTTTGTAACATTTATTCATTACTTGAATGGTGCATCATCTATAAACTGCTGTTTGCTGTAAAAATTGGTGAATTCTTTGTCTGTTTTTACGTTCTTTCAGATGGATAGTAACTTCTGTTGTAAAAAATATTGTTACACTTGAGCTCGATAACGAAAAAATTGCACATTTATAGCTAGTAAAGAACAAGGGAGAAGGAAAGAATGAAATCAGAAGATAAGAAGAGGGGTTATGAGAGGAGAGAACTCAGGTTTTCAGTCATTACATCTTTATAATACTTCCAAATATAATTTAAAGAAAGATAGGTAAAATGGGCAAACAAGTCGGAGATGACATATTAGAGGGTTCTAGAAGGCTTAGTATGTACTAGGAGCGTCTTGAAAGAGCGTTTATCTATGAAGAGTGTTAATGGAATCATAAGCATCCATGAGGGTGACAGGGTTGGCTATCCTCACTAGAGACTTGATTCTCTTGTTTCTATACATTGACAAATCAAGTT